GATTAATGATAAATAAATATTCGAAATAAAAAATACTTACAAATATGTTTACATTGAATGTTTTAGCAAGTGAGTGTAAAGTTGAATTTTCTTCTGCTAAAAAAAAAAGAAATTTAATAAATCTCGATGTTTTTATTATTTGTTAATTTATACCTTCATGTCGACCGAATAAATTTTTTTTTTGTCGACTATCAGTTAAAAATCGTATATTGCAAGCATTTGTATCCGATATTTGATAGTTATTATATTTTTTCATTAATTTTTCACGATCATTTTCTTCAGTTGAATATCGAATATCTTGTGGCATTGTTATTCGACGTGTTGAACTTTGTTCAGAAGAAGTCGATTCATTTGCCTTGGGTTTTTCATTTTCACATGATTGATCTTGATTATCAGATACACTTATAGGATTTTCAGAAGATACTGTTGTCTCTGTTAATTGTTGTTCCTGATCACTCATGACTAATATACAGAATAAATAACAAATGGTTTCTAGTTATTAGTATTGCTGATTCAAAAAAAAATTTATAATTCTGGCTAGAAAGAAAAGAGAAGACAAATGAATAATGGAAATATTGCACAAGTGAAAGTGATGATTGTATTCAGAATTTCTATTCTATTTATTTATTGAAGAAAGGCTATAAAAGATGTTTGTCTTTCCAAAAAGAAAAATAATTATATTATTCGCTAGATGGCATTGGCTTATATAAGCGAAGAAATTCAAAAGAATATGAATTAGGCATGCACTGCATCCGAATGTTTCCGGTTCGATTTTGAATGGAATCATTTGTCGTTAATTAAAAAGAAAGTAAAAGTAAGTCAAAAGAAAGGATTTCAAGCTTGGCTATGATAAATCTACACACAATGGGATAAATGATTCAAAACCGAAGGTCTGCAGACATCCTTAAAAACAAATCAATAATGTTCAGAAATTCTCAAATCTGAATCTCAAGGAACTTTCATGATTGTCCATATACCTCAAAAAATGCTTGACCACTTACTTAAATACTCGGCACGGTGTGAACTGGTTGGATAGTTTCCGAACTCGAAGTATCAAGCTAAAGTTTGGGTTCGATGCATGCCAAAATATAAATTCATGTCAGTGTTCGTATTTTAGCTGCACAAATACGTTTCGAAATACAAATAGTTCAAAAAAGTTTCATGTCAAGAAAGAACATCGTTTTCAATGAAAAATCGATCGATTGAGAGCATAGCAAACCTTCAGTTTCTATTCAATTAAAGCACAACAGGGTGGATGTACGTCATCTCTTCACATACAGCCAGATCCCATGACATAATTGATCAGGTCAATCAAAACATCTTGTTTTTTTTATACTAAATTATATTTTTATATTAAAAATTGAAAAATTAGCAATGATCACTAAATAATTCCTTTTAAATTTAGTTTAGTTGTCTCTCTTCAATTTTAAATAAATATATTCTCAGAAAACATCGACATAATTATCTCCTCAATATATTTGTTATATCAACGAAATATTTCGAAACTTGATTGAATTACTCTCTCAATGATCAGTTAGAAAAAGTTTCTAAATAGAGACCATATCCACCGATTGATCCAAAAAAAAATCTTCGATGATATATCCTATCCAAACAAAATATTGTTTTGTAAAGATCATTCTGTTGAAAATCTTTTTATTCAATGTTTCAGTTGAACATGAGTAACTTCATTTCGATCTCAATTTCAAAAGCGAGACTATACAATTTTTTTTTTGGCAAATTTAACTAAAGTTATTGTTGTTGTTCATGACTTTATCTTTAATAGTCATAAATAAAGTCAAAATGGTCAATCCAATATTTTTCACGTTGAAAAAATTCGTCTACAATTTGTTGATAATTTTATTTTTATCTTTAGAATTTTGAAATGCTTCTGCTAATGATTGTTGTTTTGTTTGTTTAATAGTATTATAATTAACATAATCATCCTGAAATGTTGATTGCAAAGCTGGGCAAGTCAAGTTCTATCGATTAGCAAGCAATTTTCGTTTTTTTAGACACTTTTTACCATGGAATAGAATTGTGAGGCTGTAAAAACTTTTTTCGCATTCGAAAGATGCTAGCAAATTTTTAACTAAACTTGGCTTGACTTAGAGGAAAAAAATTCGAAGCATGACTCGACTTGACTTGATCGAAAAAATTTTGAAGCTGTGACTTGAAAAACTTCTGACTTGTCCAGGTTTGATCATTAAAATCCCTAAAAAACCAATAATTTCTTTCACTTTCACTACTTTGATATAGTAAGCAGCAACATCAATGATATAAAGTACAATTGAAAATTCCGATATCAAATGAGAAATCAATGTTAACAATCAAATGATTTATTTTTGTTTTAGAGATAAAAAATGTAACAAAAAAAAGGACATTAAGCAAAGAAAAAAAAAATTTATAGCCTCAATGGACTATTAAAATGTGTCAATGTTATCATTAATATAAATGAATACTCTAGTCTATATCAAGATCATATTACACTTTATAATTTTTTTCGAATGACTAAGAAGGAACATAGTCATAATCTTTATTTAGTTATAGAATACTAAAACATACAATTCTCATTATATATTAAATTATTTTAATCAAAGCCGCGATACTTAAATTCATTACGAATTGACAGACCAGTACAACTTGGGCAAAAGAATACAACATAATGATCGTCGTAACTACTATTCTCATAAATAAATAATTCAAATTTAGTATGCTATCTAATTGTATTACTCACTAGAATGCGCCCAGGACAGATTCGATACATAACAAACACAACTGAAACATAGCAGTATGATTATGTTGGTTCATTAATATTGTTTGCTAATGAACTAAGAAAGCAGATCTACAGAAATATGCATAAAAAACCTGCAAGGCATACATATATGAATTATTCAATGATCATGAAGTAGTCTTATATTGAGGTACGTCATTGTAACAACTTCATAATTTTATATTCCAATGACTATTCAATTCTTTAGATAGATCATGTTTTTTTTTTGAGATAGTATCTATGTAATTACAGAAGTAATTAGATGATGAACACATGCCATTCGATTCTATGTTTTCCGTCAGCTGTTCTTTAAACTAATGTTTATCTACCGAAATCAAATAATCAAACGATGAATACAAAATACAAACCTTGTCTATTGTAGTCCGTTATTACAACAAAATAATATTGTATGAAGGATAAAGAAATAAAAGAACTATTCATTAGATATTGTTTTACGATTTAAGGCTAATAATCAATAAGCCTTTGTCAACAATGTTTAGATTACTATTCGTATATAAATTTTTTTGTTGCATTAGAAAACAAAAAAAAAAGTATATTCAAGATATATATATATATATACATAGTGATGCCAGTATAAAAATGACATGATTATATGAATATGAATACGTATTTAATTTTTGTTACTTTATCGTCGTGCTACATTAGATCAATGCAATTGCAGTCAAATATTTTTTTTCTTATTTGAAATAACAGGAGAAATAAGAAAACAAGTAAGACATTAAACAACCAATAATTTTGATTCTTTTATTTTATAACAATGATAGTAGAAAGAGTTTTAATCATCATTTTATAATGTTCAAATCTTACAGCTATTAGAAAAAAGAATTTCTAACTAAACTTTAATTCCATATCAATTATAGTTTAACAAATATTCTGTTCAATTCCATTATATTAAAGGTTATAATAATAAAAATATAATATGAAAAGAAACATATGAATGATATTTTCATGAAGATTCTACAGATGCCGCATATATCCATGATATGTATATAATATTTTATTAAATAAATATGACTTTGATATATTTGTCAACAATAAAATATTGAGATTAAATTTTATCTTTTATCATATATATTTTTATGAATAAAAATAAAGATTTTGCTATTGTCGATGAGTATTGGTGTACAATTGCAGATGGTTGCTTTTGCCTACTTACTTACTTACAACAATCTATCCAACTACAACTATCGCTACCATATGGAAGAGAGAAGAAGAAAGGGAAGAAAAATAGAGAACGAGAAGGATTAACAACGCAGTAAACGATGTAGGTACATGTGTTGAACAAAAATCAATAAATTGGACACAGACAGAGAAGAAGAAAAGTGCTGAATAACCTTTTTAGTATGTTGTTTTATCTTCAACTAGCGTTACCGATATATATCTGACTGCTCCTGCTGTACAACTGATCCAGACAAAAACATTGATCGTTTTGTTTTTATTGTGAAGGTCGAACTATCACACCATCAGTTTACATCAAATGATTAACTTGTGATGATATGGTCTTTTTTTGTCTATTCTTTTCCAATTGCTTTTCTTTAGAATAAGGTAATTTTAGGGTTTTTTTTCTTCTTTATGATCCAACTTTCTCGTTTATTAACAATGATGACGTAACTAACATGATCATTGAGACCATACCGATGTTTTTTTTTATTACTAGCACTCGAGCGAATAAATTCAATGAGATACATCTACTAGCTCGACACTTTTAAATATATGAATTACATTATTTGTTTCTGTAGTGGTTTTTTTCTTTATTAAGTACTTTATATATTATTACCTGTATACAACATGTTCGTATACAGGAAATAATAAGCATATGTTTATTCTTAATATAGTATAACATCAAAATGAAATTATGAATATGTTTCTGTTTAGAAAAAATGCTTAAAAAATAATTATTTTAATCTATTTTAGAAACGATATGTTTATTGATTATCATCATTAATTATTATTATTATTATCTGTATAATTCTTTTCATCATTATTTAATGAATATTAATCATGCATAAAAATTATTCTTTCATATTAATAACAATTTAATTTATTATTATTGTTATTGATCTTTTTTCTACTAAAGAGAAAAAAAAACGAAACGAATTTCATTAAACTTGTGTCTTAGATTTTTTTCATATTCATATTTATTTTTACGTTAATTTTGCAACATAGAAAAACAAAAAATAAAATTTTCTTTTTTTTGCCGTTTTTGTCAATGACGACTCAAAGTGAAACCGATAATATTAATGAAATTAATGAAGACAATCAAACAATAACAGTGATACAAGAGTAAAAAATTTTTATTTTATTTTCTATTTAATTATTAATTATTATAGATCATCAATAAATGAATCTGATAAAAATCATGAAGAATTAACTACAATAGAAGATGAAAACGAGCAAAAGTAAGTGCAAAATAAAAAACAAAATAAATAAAAAACATTTTAATAAAGATCAATTATTTTAAGGAATAGTTTAATGCATGAAAAAAACTCTGAAGAAAACAATAGTATTAATGATGATACTGAAATAAATTCTAATTCAATAACAAAAGTCAATATTAATGAAGAACAGGAACAACAAAAAGAAGAAACAACAGTGAATAATCATGAGGATGATAATCGATCGAAAAAATTATTTAATTCAAAATATAAATACTCATCAATGATATATCATCGATCACCATATTATACAAATGGTCATCCATATGGGCCAGCGCCCTATTATTATTATCATGTAGCACCAATCAATGAAAAACCACCACCGTTAATGGTAATCCCAACTCAACCACCATCAACAGCAACAGCGACAGCAACAACAACTACAACAACAACAACCGATAATCAAACCAGTAATTCAACAACAGCACCATCTCAAAATTTACCTCCTCGTTTGAGACAAATATCAATAAATGAAAATGATTCAAATTTACAACAATCATCATCTCAAGTATCAACAACAACAGGTTCGCAACCAACAACAAATGGTCGTCGTCATCGAAGTATTTTGCCACGTGGTAGTTGTAATTATTATTCTCCACATCCACCACCCTTGATGGCAACACCACCCGGTGTTCTTTTCCCATATCCACCAACATTTCATCAATCAGGTCATATTGCGTATAACATCCGAACACCTGATGAACTTGAATTACTTGCTTTTCAACAACATGTAATGAATATCCCACCACCACTTATCTGGCCACCACCAGTAACATATCCTCAGTATCCACCATATTCAATGTATGAATCATCATCATATATATACAACAATTCATCAACGATGAATTCAAATAATTCATCACTGAATCCAGAAGCTGCTGAATGGGTTCCACCATCTACTGATCCGGATGTATCATCATCAGATAATCATATTTTAATTGACGATGAAATTAATTTTCCACCATTGAATAATAATCGTATAGAAGAAAATAATTCTGATCAACATAATCAAGTTGATTCTTCACCAGAAATGGATTCAATTAATAATATTGAAGATAAAACAACAATACCACCATCAAAAATTGATACAACAATAAATAATTCATCATCTAGTCAAGATGATAATAAAAATTTATCATCATCATCATCAAAATCAACAATAATATCATATTCAAATGTTATTCTTCAAACATTAGATATGAATAAATCAAATAAAACTAATAATCAAAATCAACGTCGTCAACAACCATCAATAAATAATATACAAGCTCAATTACCACCAAGAGATCGAACAATTAAACAACAAAAATCACAAATTCCTATTCCAAAAGATAATTCATCTCGTCGACGCCAACCAACATCAAATCGAAATAATTTTAATGGAATACGACATTCAATTTCAACAGAAACACCAAAACAAACACAACAACAACAACAACAACAGTTAGCTGATGATTGGATTGAAGTTAAATCTAAAAAAACAAAAAAATTTGATCGTTCAATAAGCGATATACAATATGAAAATTCAACAATTATATCACAAAAATCATTGTCAGATCAGCAAATAACCAAAACATTATCACCACCATCATCATTGTCCTCAACTAGTGATAATACAGTAGGAACATGTACATCCGAAGAAGAGGACGATAAAGATGATGTAAATAATATATCTGATAATAAACTTGTTATGATTGTTGAAAATAAAACTATACCAACAACAACAACAACAGAAGATTATAATCAAATTATTATTGATGATATTCATAGAAGACTTGATAATGGTGAACGATTATTAATTATAATGAGAGGATGTCCTGGTATGTTCTTTTTTATTTTTGCTTTTTATTAGAGATTTCTATAATGAATAAGTAGTTGACAAAAAACTCAAATCATTCGAAATAAGTCGTTTTGAAATTTTTTTTTTCAATCTTTGATTTCTTTGTACTTAATTGAACGATATCGCCTAAATCTTTCGTCGTAATACAAGCCTCCTGAGCGCTGCTGAAATGTTCAAGTATTCAAACATGTTATAGGGAACCTACTAATACGACTTGAGTGTGGGTGTTACCAAAGAAAAGACTCATATACCCACATCATATCATGATGTAACAAATAGAAGAAATATGAATTTGTTAATCTGTGATAATCTTCAAGTACCTATTCTCAGATAAAATGCATAGTGGCCATGAACTTAGGCCTTGACGAAAAATGAACATGGTTTCGGGCAGATTATTCTTAATCATGAGCATTTGATGACATCTGGAGAAACATTTTTCACATGCTGACAGTGCCTGATCAAGAATAACTTGATAACATCTGCAAAGTTTTGCTGAAAAAATTGAAATTATCTGGAGATAATAGAAACCCCTGAGGCTTCTATTTCTGAGAGTGAATTACTAACAAAATATAGATTCAAAAGCAAAACAAACAAATCTTATTATTAAAATTTCAATATTTTACTTTTTGTATTAAAAATCTTTTCAATGTTTGTTTAGGTTCAGGCAAATCAACACTTGCTAAGTAAATTTTAATTTTGTTTGTTTGTTTGAATTAAAAATGATTTTATGTTTTGTTTGTCTAGATCATTAAATGAAGGTTATAATGGTCAGATTTTATCGGCAGATGAATATTTCAAAGATAATAATTCAAATGAATATCGATTCGATCCAACAAAACTTGAAACTGTTCATCTTTATAATCGTCGATTAGGTAAATTTTTGCATATATATTTTGAGATATTTAAAAAAATAAATTTTCATTTTTCTTTTGTTTTATTTAGTATCTGATGCATTTAAACAAAATATATCTCCAATAATTATTGATAATACAAATACAACATCATCTGAAATGAAACCATATGCAACAATGGTAAATGTTAATTTTTTTTTTCTTTTTTTTTGTATCAATTTTTATTGAATGATTTAGGGTAAAGAAGCAGGTTATGAGATTCTTCTTGTTGAACCACAAACACCTTGGCGTTATAAAGTTCGTGAATTAGTCAAGTGAGTTAATTTTGTTTTTGAACTTTTATTTTTTTTTCTTTTTTCTAATCATTTTCCTATACAGATATTGATTTATTTTATCGAGTGGTATGTTTATGTTCATGGAAAATGACTCTTTCTTCTCTCATTTGGGAGGCTTATTTTCTTAAACTTATGCACTGACTTTTCTACTATTTTTTTTAATCTCTAAATACCTGCTATTTTCTCAGGCATTTAGATATATAAATCAGCTGCAAATATTATATCAACGATACCAACAACTAATGCTCGTTTTAACGACATACATTAGTCTGATTTTACCCGTTGAATGTAATGACTTGAAAAAAAATTTGACAATATGGAATTTAGTTAAATAAGGAACTTTTCTTTTTCTTTTTTTTTTAAATCGATATTACCTTTAAAACATAACTACATCTAACTATTCTCAAGCTTACTTCTTTTACTATGCAGCCTATTCAAAAAATAACATTTTTTCCAATATTTTACCTACGTAAAATACGTGGAAGGTAGGAAACTACATTTTTTTCTCATAGAGGATTTATCTGCAGATGTGTCCCCAGTAGAGATGTGTGGAACTAAGTTATATTGATCCCATTGCTGCACATCTCTAGTTCCGATCAGAGAGAAATGACTCCCTTCAATCTTGAAAAACTTTTATTTTTCCTCAGCGTTTTACTGTGTTTTTTGCTGACCAATTCCTTAAAAAAAAAATGTTCGAGCTTCCTCCACAATCCGATCAACTTTATCAAAAGTCTTCTAAACGCTTTCCCACTCCTCATCGCAATCCTGACAACCTCGAAATACCTCTGTTTATAAGAAATTCATCAAGAAAAATGATTAGCCAAGTATCTTTTATAGACTTAATTCTTCTAGATAAAATAATAATTATTTAGATTAATTCGATTAATAAATAAAGTCTTGCATGTTTGCCAATCTTTGACGAGTTCGTTTTTAATATGAGATTATTCTTGTTCCTTTTTTATGCATGTTTTGAGATAATAAATCTAAAAAAGTTATTTCTAGATCTGGTTTTTAAATCAAAATCATTTTTTATTTTATTTATTACAAAATATAAAATACTCTTTATGTTATTATTTAGACGAAATCTTCATAATATACCATTGCGACGTATAAAAGAAATATTAAATAATTTTGAACATAATGTAAATGTTGAAAATATAATTGATCAAACAAAAATAAATCTATTTATACCATGTCAACCTCAACAAATTCTTGAACAACATGGAACAGATAATGAATCAATTGATCCAATATTAACATCAAAAAAATCTTTTAATATTATTAATGATTCAGATATACTCAATGATGTTCGTCTTTGTATAAATGATATGATTTTATTTTTAACATCAAATTTTTATCAAACATCACAATCATTAACATCATTAACAATATCCTTTTCGGATTTATCATTAATACCATCATCATCATCACCAACAACACCAACAACACCACATTCATTATTTCATCGTTCATTATCACGTTTTTCATCAACAACAACTAGTCAAGATCATTCATTTACTAATGAACATCTTTTACGTTTACCAACAACAGCATTTTCACGTTGTATTGAGAAATTAACACCACCATCATCAACTAATTCAAGTATTATTGGAAAAAAACGACGAAAAAATAAAAATAAACAACAACAACAATCATCTAATGAAATTTTGCTTAATACAAATAATAATAATAACAATAATAATAATCAAATAATTAATGAAAATGATTATCCTTTACAACAATTAACATATAATGTTATTCTTGCAGAAGATTATTCTGATTTTATTATTATTGATGAACAAAATGACAATCATTATTGCGATAGTTTTATTCAAAATTTTGATCAACGAAGAAATTCTTACCGGTAAATTATTCTTACATTACTTTTTTTTTTATTCTCTCAAAACAGATTGGTCATGACTCATTTTTTGTTTTTATTCATTCTCTTTCTTTTTACTTGGGATAATCGACCTATCGTATGCGTCTCTCTTCATCCACATGATCATGAAAAAGAAAAAACAAAATAAATATTTGTCTTGTCATTTATAGATTTATTTTTCATACGACTATTTCTTTTTTGTGAGTACGAGAAATAATTATTCCTACAATGGATAGTACATTAAAGAAAATGTATAAAGAAACAATGAGGTAAATTTATATTTTATTTTCTATATTTTTAAATTCTTTAAAATTTATTTTTATAACGCACAAAATAAAATAAAGCAAACATAGTTTTTTTTCTTTATATTTAATTGTTTTAATTCTTAAAAATAATATTTAATATTTATAATTAAATTATTTTAGGAATCATTCATCAATAAATACTCATCAACAAAAATCAGACAATAATAAAAAAAATGAATTAATCAATATAATACATGATGAATTAACAAAACCTTCTGTAATAATTGATCAATATCCGTCCAAATCTTTTAATCATATTGCTATACAATGTTCATCAAATGATTTCAATCAAGAAATTAATTCATCTTATCGAATTTTAATTGGTCATTTATCAGCTCAATCACCAATTTCACCATCGATTCCAATACGTCCAGGTTATATTGAATGTGGTACACAAGTTGATTTAAATGAAAATAATATTCAATCATTATCACATTTAATTGAATTATATTCTGATCGTTTATCATCTAAAATAATAAAACAATTTTATGATCTTTGTAATTCTGATATTCAATGGACACGAATACAAATTGATGAATATCTTAAACATAACAATAATAACAATAACAATAATAATGATATATCGATTATACCAACACTTCGACAATTAAGTTTTAATGTTTTAAATCAATGGAATGAACAATTAAAAGATTCAAATCCATCATATGATACAATATCAATTGGAGATTTACTTCAAGATATTAGTGATGAAGATGTATTTGAAGAATTAATATTAGATAATGAATTAAATAATAATTCAATAGAATTTAAAGATTCAAATCAAATGACTATACCATGGTCAATTGTAAATTCTTTACAAGAATTATATGGTGAATTACCAATACAATCAACTTCATCTGATATTACTAATGGTTTATCTTTACCATTAGATGATGATCTTTCAATGAATATTTATCAAGCATTACAAAGATTTTTAGGTATACCAAATAAAATAAATAAACCGGTGAATGAAAAGAAATTAACTAAAGAGAATAAAAAATTAAATAAGCAACGTTGGAATTTACCCCCACAAAATGAATCAAATATAAATTCAAATAAGAAAACTAATGGTCCATCATTAAAAGAAATTATTAATGAAGAATTAAATTATATCAATAGACAAAAATCAGTACAGGTATCAAATATTCAGTATTGTTAAAATAGACTATACAGAAATTTATCTGTTACTAATTTATTGATCGATTAGATCGTATTTCTCTAGATAAATTCACACTAGAGATCGGCGTAGTTGCCGTAATCAATACTCCAAAGAATTTCACGATGAAAATTCGGCAGAAAGTGCTTTCATTCTCGAAGTGCTAGCAGTAGTGACGGGGTCGAGGAAGAACGAAATCCATCATGACCTAATTTTTCTCATAATAGATGACCTTCTACCAGGGCGTTTCTTCCCAATCCTGTTCACTCACAATGACATTGTCGGCTAATTTTTATTCCATTTTCTGTTAGAGAAAGACTAATAATGTTTTCAAAACCCAGTTGTTGTGGAAAGTTACCAAGCAGCTGTAAAAAATTCGTAGAAAGTTGGACATTTTAGGGAAAGCTCTTCTCCCCATTCCCTCCTAATCAGGAATCTTGGTCCGATCATGACACATTTTTAATGTAGCTAACGGATGGATAGAAAGTTTTGAGATGAAATTTTGATTTATGTTTGACTACTTTGCAAGTGTTTTCGATGAGTTGAAAGTTATGGATAAGAGCAAAATTTTGTGCTCTTTCCAAATGTAGACTTACGAGGGAACCTTTTCAACTGTCCAATCGCTTTTGAGTTCGAACTCAGTGTGAAAGATAGACCCCAGTGAGGTATGAAAAGCCCCAAAAGGATTAGTGCCCATAGGCCTTCTGTCCAGAGTTATAGGCATTTTACCGGATTTTTAGCCTATGGCACAGTATATACCAAAAAATCGAATGACAATATTTCGAGCTGAGATTTTGTCCAAAGATAGGTCTATGTACCAATAGAATGCCCTGAAAATTTCAGCTCAAAAGAATGTTTCAATCTCGGGATATTAAACTCCCAAAAACCGCGCATATCCCGCGAATGATGGTAGAATTTTTTGGCTTTTGGGTGTTCAAAATCTCGAGATTGAAACATTCTTTTGAGCTGAAATTTTCAGGGCATTCTATTGGTACATAGACCTATCTTTGGACAAAATCTCAGCTCGAAATATTGTCATCCGATTTTTTGGTATATACTGTGCCATAGGCTAAAAATCCGGTAAAATACCTATAATTCTGGACAGAAGGCCTATGGGCACTTATCCTTTTGGGGCTTTTCATACCTCACTGGGGTCTATCTTTCACACTGAGTTCGAACTCAAAAGCGATTGGACAGTTGAAAAGGTTCCCTCGTTAGAAGTTTTCTTGAGCCTCATGAGTATTTGAACTTTCATTATTGCAATTCGAAAGTAAATTTTGACATCTTTTTAATATATCAGTTTGTCAAGTAGAAGACTCATATTCAAAGAGAGAGAGAGAGCATAAGATTCTGATCATCATTCATAGTTTTTGGCTTATCTGAGATACTTTCAAGTAAATCGAAATGAACAAGCATTTGCATCAGAACCTTCCGCTCACCGTTTCCGTCTAAAATCATATTTTTGAGTCTTTCAAAGATTCCTTCACTACTCTCGAACGAAAACTGAGATAAAATTTCTAAGACCATATTCGAAAAGTTCATAATATCCTTGTCCTAATTCATAGCCTCTGACTTCTTGGAAACACTTTCAAAGAAGTCAAAAATAAAAAAAATATTTTGACGCAAAACATTCGACCTGTTCATCGTATCACAACTGTTTTTAGTTTTGTTCAAATCATATAACTTATCATAGTTGTTTAATGTAATATTCAGACTTTTTTTTTCTTCTTTCACTTGAAAGAATACTATTTCAATCAGGTCTCTTCTATTGCTTCATGTGATTCGTGTAAAAATCTAACTGTCATTTTTCTTCTAAAATCATATTGTTATTAAATTAGAGGCACTAACAATAGATGATTCGAGTAGAGTATGATCAATAGTAAGAATGTATTGCAACAGATTTTTAAAAAAGCCTGATTTATTAACAGTCTCAAGTGATACCACGTTAAAATTTCTCGTTATTTTAATTTTATTTGCGAAGTAACGAAATGAAGTGATGCTCTTTTTGATATCATCAGTATTGGTAGCTGCTTTGTAACAGATTGTACTAATATAGTTAAAAGAATCTTAATGACTTAAGGTCATGATTGTGATCACTGTGACCAAACAATAGTGGTTATGTTGACCTCTAATCTATACAACTCATGATTGCGATAAAATATTATTTTAATTATCAATATTTTCTAGAAGCAACAGACTAAAAAAAAAATTCGGAACAGTTATACTTAAAAGTTTTTCCAAAAAACTGATCCTTAATATTCAATATCTGATATTATTCAACTTTTGATAATCGAACAAAGATTTTGATATTTACAAACAATATGAATTATTTTATAGAACATCTCTATCAAAGTTGTTCGTCTGGTTCTTACGTTTTTGAAAACAAATGTTGATGCATTGTCTTGTTATTCGAGATTACTTTGACAAATTCATTCGATTCAAGTAACAAATGCTTGAGCGAAATGTCAATTTAGTGTTGTAGGACTTCCACTGATTAACAGAAGAATTTGTTTAGATCCATAACAGTTCGATAGTAAATTTTGCATTCGTGCTGTCACGAAAATTAATTGACAGATGTAAACGTTCTTGTCTATTATAATAAGTATCACTTACACCCTAAATTTTCTTTTACCTCATTGTTTGATGCTTGATCATTTGTTGTTTTTACTATCATGATTACATTTTTTTTTGATTATACGAAACAGTATTGTTTCAATCAGACAACATTACGTTAATTCTAGTCTTTCTTTTATGAAAAATATTTATGTTAATTGTTTCGCGAAAGAATTTATTATTATCTTATGTTTATTGAATAAAATTAAGTGAACAACTGAAACTAGAATGATACGTTAATGCAGAGGTATAGAACGAAACATATTCGAAAAATCAGAAACATCAATCAGTCTCGGTTGGCTTACAGACCAGTCCAGAAACAAGTGGTCTTTTGACAGCTAGAGCCGATCGAGTTCGGGTTTGAAAATTATGGGTCCGATGGGGTTAATTAGTAGTTCTAATCTCTATCAAATAGACTTATGTTGAATAATTTTTCCATGGTTCGTATTAGATAGAAACGATGAATTTCTTATCCTTAGCAACTTTCATCGCTTATTGTTTCCGAATAAAATTCGAGAATAAATATTTGTCAAGAGTTTCACGAAAGGTTATTTAAAATAAACTGATAACACATCAAATAAGATGACAACTATCATACACTAATTCTTTTTTTTGATATTTGAATAAAAATTTGGTAATCAGAATTTTTATTTTAATAAGATTTCAATTAAAAATTTATAAAATATTGTTTTTTCTCGAAATTATTTTAGAAACGTCAACTTGATTTTGCTAGTCAACTTAAATTAAAAGAATTAGAACGTATTTTTCCAAATTTTTCAGCTGATATTCTTTATGACATATTTTGTGAAAATGAATCTGATTATGATTTAACGTTAGTCTGTGTATCATCAATGCTCGATGAGAATACTCCAATTAATGTTACTTCAAAATCTCAATCTTCCTCATCATCTAATATTCGTTCTTCCATAACAACAAAATCTATTGCTGAACCAGCTATTGAATCTTATGAAATCTTACGGCGTGATGCTCATTTTCATGCTTTAAAACGTAAAGATTGTTATAATAAAGCTGATCAAGCAAATTGTCATGGAATGATTGGTGTTGCATCATATTATATAAATCAAGCACGTGAGCAAACTCGATTAATGAAAGATGCAAATCGAATAGCATGTGAATGTTTATCAAAAACAAGACTTATTCAATTTCATCAAACACATCGACTTGACCTTCATGAATTATATGCAGATGAAGCACTTCATTTATTTAAACAAGTCGAACAAGAATTGAATGAAGGAAATAAACGAACAACACCAAAATCTATTGAAATTATAACTGGTTATGGAAAAAATTCACTTTATGGTGGTGGCTGTGGAAAAATACGTTCTATTATTCTTACTTATATACGACAAAAAAATTATAAGTAAGAATTTTCTTTTAAATAGAATTATTTTATTTTTCATTTTTCGTCTTATGGAATTATGTAAACAGTTTCATAGAAATTTGAAAGGTTATAAATTCAGTTTCTTTTTAAGAAGGATTTAAGATTACATAGATCATTGTAGAATATGTACATGCACATTTCTGTTCTCAATACATATCATCTACAGACAGTAGTGATTGAGCAAATCAGTTATGACACAGATCTAAAATTTTCAGCAGCTCTCATCCTCAAAAAACAATCAGAAATCCTGGTATCTGTTCAGCATGATATCGAAGAAAAAATGGAGGTATCAAGTACTAGAAACTGAAGCGAAAGAACCATAGACTCGAATATTTTTAAGCTTTGTCAACCTCATCAAAATCTGTTCGTAGTCAAAATATAAGATAAAGAAATTTCAGATAGTTGAAATATTTTCTCGAAACTAAAACGGATATTTCTCTAAATCGTACTATATACAATTCAATCTTTTTTATCCGAAGATAAAATATAACATGATTGAAAATGAATTTTTTTTAATTTTTTTCTTTTTGCATTTTCTTTTTATCAATTTTTTAAAAATTTATTTAGATATTCTGAGCCCAATAAAGGTACGATTCTAGTGCAATTTTAACAAAATGCACAAAATTGATGGACTTTATTATTTCTAATTTGAAGTTATTCATTGTTTTCTTTTGATTTGATTTGTTTGTATGTATGTGTGTGCACGCGCAGTGATCTTCTACGATTTCACACTAGATATAGAGACGTTGTTTTTTTCTTTTTTTTTGTTTTTTTTTCTGGGTCTAGCGCGAGTCTTTCACTAGTTTTTGTTTTTTTCTCTTTATTAAACTTATTGCCTTCATACATACATTTACTGATTGCAGTTCTTGTGTTTTTCGATGTGTGTGTATTTTGTGTAGTTAAAAAAAAGGCAAAACAACAAATCTGTTTTTTTTTCTGTTTTGAAGAGATATGTTAAATCTCATACAGTTTATTTCATTTTTTTTTGTTGTTTTTGTTCACTGCGTGATTTTTCTGCTTTGTTTATTTATTTCACATTTATCCGGTTCGTTTCTATTTGCTGTTTCTTCATGTTTACAGCTCAGGAACTCGGTTTTTGGCTGCTTTAGACAGAAGCACATAAATTCAAGTCTTAGAAATACTCCTTTTGGTGCTAATCAATCGAACAATCATAAGATTGGCGAACATTTGTTTTTTTTTTCATAATAATTAAACGTGAACGATGATGACAGAAGAAAAAACTAATTGATTGGGAAAGTGCCATTTTTGTTTGTTTGCTTGTGTGTGTGTGTGTGATATCAAAGCTCCCCGTCCGCGATTAGATATAAAATACATGTGTGTTTGTGTGTTTTCAAGTAGGGTAAACAAGAAAGTCGCTTGCATCTATGCAGCAGTATTTTGTAAAACCCTGTTCATGTTTGGTAAACTTTAACTAGCCATGTGCGTTTGTTCAGTTATTTTTTTAGTGAAAACATAACCCTTTTCTTGCTTTCGTCCACGTTATTTCAACTCGCTTCTTTCTTTCTTTCTTTTTTTTCCGTGGTATATTCGAGTGTTTTTTCTTTTGTGTAGAACGAGAAAAACAAACAAAAATAAAGTATTAGGGAAATAAGAAATTCTTTTTCTTTTTGTTTTTTACATCAGAAATATTAGTAATCATTTTGCAGATAAATAAATAAATATATTATTTAATATCAATCAAAGATGAATATCGCTATGAATCGTATTATGAAAGAATTTAAGGAAGTAGTGGCTAATGAATCAGTAAGATAATTATCATTAATATATTTAAATCTATATAATATTTTCATAGAATGGAATTGAGTTACATATGCCAGAAGGTGAATTAACAAGAAACCCTTCGAATTCATCATCAAATAAAAAAGAAATTTATCTAAGTGGATCACTACTAGGACCACCAGATACACCTTATGCTGGAGCTCGATTTCATGTTGATATTATTGTTGTTGGTAAGTTGAATATATACGAAAAAAAATACATATGTCTTTCTTTTTTTTCTATAGATACATATCCATTCAATCCCCCTAAAGTTCGATTTACTACAAAAATTTGGCATCCAAACATAAGTTCAGTGACCGGTGCCATTTGTCTTGATATTCTTAAAGATCAATGGTAAAAATATTATTGTTAATACTAATAAGATTAATTGTTTTAAATTATATAGGGCTGCTGCAATGACTATTCGAACAGTATTGCTTAGTTTACAAGCATTACTTGCAACACCTGAACCAGATGATCCACAAGATGCTGGTAATTGAATTGAGATATTATTCTAGTTGTTATTATATTAGATAATAAAATTTAGTTGTTGCTAATCAATATAAAAAAGATAGGAAATTATTTGAAAAAACAGCTCGACATTGGGCTAATGTTTATGCAAATGGTAAATGAAAAGTTTTTGAAATAAAGAAGAAAATTCAATAAATTAATCTTTTTAGGACCAACACCAGAACCTGAATGTGATGCGGCTGTTAAAAGTCTTGCTGAAATGGGTTTTGATGAAGTAATTAAATAAATTCGATATATTATTTAAAATAATTTCTTTTTTGTTATAAAGGAAAAAGCCCGTGCAGCCTTATCATCAATGCATTGGAATACAAGCGATGCTTTGGAAAGTCTATGTAAAGCATAAATAATTAAAACAAGACTGATATTCCAATTTTTTTTTATAATTATTATATGCTCTGCTAATCGTTTTCTCCTATTTTTCTAAACAAATATTCGAGATCTATATGTGTTTGTGTGCGGCATGTATAAATCCTGAAATATGTTCTTGTGTGTTTATTAAACTAAAAAGAAAAAAAAGCACAAGAAATTCCTTTAACTCTTTTTTTTCTTTTGAGAAAAATATAAAATGATTATCAAGACAAATTTGGCTGTGTTCATTTTTTTTTTGATACATTGGTATGATCTTCTAACTATATCAAAAAAGAAATAAATTTGTTTCTCATTTTAATCTTATCATGTCAATAAATGAATGAATGCATGAATGAAGGATAATATAGAATGCTTCGAGAAACCCAACAGCTTAAAGTATTTGAATAGAACAGTCAGCAGAACCGGTATGTCGCAAATAATAGCCATCATATAGCACTTATCATCTCAATGACTGATCCATGTTCAATAACACAATACTTTCGAATCGAAACAAAAATACCATCGATATATCCGACTTTCTCTCATTTCTGAAAAATTTCGGATGAGCTTTTCTCCGTTTTCGAAAAAATACCTTAAGTTTTCTCCAATTCTGAAAAATTATATGGCTGCTTCTTTATTTTACGTTGATTAAAATGAAAATGTTCCACTTTTTCTTTCGCTTCATATAAACTGATTGCAATTAAGTTAGCTAATGATAAGAAAAAATTGATGTATAGATCTTGCATGTGTCGTAATTTGCATTCAGGGGCGGTACGATCGAGGAGCAATCGGGGTCACCTCCTGCTCTGGAAAGCTTTGGCTGGGACTTTCTTCGGATTCGAAAATTTTGGAGATCAGTTTTCTCCGATTTTGAAGACATATTTAAAACAGCTTTATCCAAAATCGGAGAAAATTATCTAAAAACGTTCTCCAAACTTGAGTTTTCCCCGAAGTCGGAAAAATCTAATTTTAGAGAAAATTATTAAGCAACTTTCTTCCATTTTGGATAAATTCGTTAGAAAATTTTCTCTAAATCCAAAAAAATTCAAGTTTCGAGAACAGTATTGAGCAACTTTCTTCGATTTTGGAGAAATATATTATACAACTTTGTCTCATTCAAAGAAAACTTCAATTTGGAGAACAATTTTTGACTTTCTCCAATTTAGGACTGATCCCTTCCTGCTTCAACCTCTTCGGACCGTCCCTGATTCATAAGTATGATTCAATAGGAAGAATGATCTGAACAATAATCAAAGGATTGTTTGTATTGAAATTTGTGCAAGAGATGACAGAATAACACAATAATCTGTTACAAGAAGCCATGCTTTCACATATTTCATGGATGCCCTCCACCTTGTCAAGGATTACTTGAAAACTTTTCCGAAAATTCTGAAACATTCAGTTGAGATAAGCATAGTAGAATAGAAAACAAAGATATTCTAGACATACATTCCTTCCCTCCACAAGAGATACGGATCATAGCAGTTGAAAGTGGTTCCTTCTTCTCAGCCTTATATTTCCGACCTACAGTGTCCTATTAAGCTGACTTTTTTTCCTAGAGCGGATTAAAACAAATTTTTCACTTCTGACGATTAAGAAATTATCTTGTCTACTATTTGGAAGCGTTCATCACCAATCTTCAGCGCACGTTTTAAGCATAAAACAGTCTCCATCAAGAACTCTATTTGGCTGATAATGAAACTGTGCAAGTCGATTCTTATAGCAGTTGAAAAGAATTTTTAAAAACTTGTCAGTGAGGCCCCATAAGAGAACGAAATGTAGAACTCACAAACTCTGACTGTTATAAATTTACGATATATTGTCAGAAGTTATAAAACAACTTATTAAAAAAATATCAAATAAATGAATAAATTAGAATTATAAGCATTTTTATAGTTGATACGCGCTCTGAAATTTTACTTTGTCGAAGTCTCATATTTATAATTGCTTTTCTATCAATTTATTTGATTCATTTAACATCTTAATGTTGAAAAAAAGTTATTTTATTCTCTGATACATCTTCAATACATAACTTCTATTTACTTAATAATAATATCTATACGATACATGTTAAATATTAAAAAAAGATTAAATATTAATGATAAAAAATATCAAATATTAGTTATTAATTATTAATTAAGTAATTCGCCATTTAACTAATTAGTTAATTAATTGATTTGTTTGTAACAGTTTGTAATGGTGGCGGGGAGGGGGGTCACTATGGTCTGTAATGGAGGGGATTATTAATGTCTGTAATGGAGAATTACTAAATGTCTGTAATGGGGGCCTAGAGGAAGGGAAGCCGCAAAACCTCGATTTAAAACTTACACTCACTGTTTTCTTCGAAAATATGCGTAAGTTCCACAAAACAAGAGAGACAGACAGGGTTGCCAGATCATCCGAATTTTTTGGAAATTTCCGAATTTGCCAAGTTTTTCCGACTGATTTCCGATTTTCCGAATTTATCCGAATTGTTGAGATTTTTTGCGAATTTTTCCGAATCGTAATATTTTTAAAAATTTTCCTTTCAGTACAATTTTCGATATAATTTTTAATAGATTTCATATCACGCCATCTTTTCTTTCCTGTAATCATTGGATAACTGATTTTATTCTTACAGACAAGAAGAAAAGAAAAAGGAGAGAAGATGCAATATGATAAGCATTTTTTTTCAAATCTCATTTAAGATTTGTCAAAATAACTTAAGTTAATGTTTGGTTTTCAAAGAAGTCACATGAATGAATAATATCTCTAAAAGGTCTAATCTAAATGTAAATGAACATGCCGTTTTACTTTTTAATGGTTATATTTCAGAATAAATAAAACGTTATTATGGATGATAAATCTGATGATTCGTGCATCAATATGACTTTGAGTGAAGAAGAACAAGAATCTCTTCAAAAAACGATATGTATTCAATCAACAACAGCTTCAAATTCCAAGAGAAATAAAAAAAAAAGGTATTTTTCAAAAGGAATGGACATTACTTAAAGAATTTTTATCTTGGTTGCAGGAAGTGAAAAGTGATTGTAAACAAGTTCGTTGTAAAGCTTGTTTAAAAACGTTTAGCATTCATGAAGGAAAACCAGCTTTAAAAAAAGCATATGAATAGTAAAATTCATAAGACACATGAAATCATTCGGAAATAATACATTGATAACACACACTTCATTTGGTGAAACACAAAAAGTGTCAGCTATGGAGGGTACGTTTGTTTATCGTGAAGTAAAGCACGGTCATAGTTACATATCTCAACAGTGTACAAGAAATCTAGTTAAAGATTTATTTGCATCATGTTCAAACACTGCTAAAAATATAGCATGTGCGAAAACAAAATCAAGAGCTGTTGCTTGTAATGTTCTTGCCCCTTATTTCACGCCCAAATTAATTGATGATATATCAGAAGCTCGATTTTATTCGATATCATTTGATGTTTCAAATAAAGGAAATATAAAAACATATCCATTTACTGTTCAATATTTTAGTGACATTGGAGTTAAAAGAGGTAAAGAAATATTTCATAACTCAATGTTTATGTTTTTTTACGTATAGGAATTCTTCAATTTGTTGATGATCCACGTGAATCAGTAAGTGATGTATTTAATAATCCAATGAAAGTGATAGAAAATTATCAATGAGATATTCGAAATTTAACAAGTATCGGTGCTGACAATGCCGCAACGTAAACTTTGATGAGCATCATTCGGTATTTGAATTATTCAAAGATCTTTGTCCATGTTTAGTGAAAGGTATATCAATATGTTTATTGTTAGCGTATTTTCATGTCTTTGAACTTATATTTGTGTAACTATTTAATTTTTTTATAGGAAATTGTTATGCTCACGTTCTTCATAATGGCGTAAAGCATGCACATGATGATTTATTGATTGACGTTGAACTCATTTTATGTAAAATATATTCTTTTTTTTCTAATTCAGCAAAACGTGTTGAAGAATTGAAATCGTATTATGATTTCATTCAAGTTGAATATCGTGTAGGTTATTTGTGAAATACAGATTAAGATGAACAGTAAAGAAATCCATATACATTCTTCATAATTTTTTCAGGTTTTGTTGGAACATATTACTGTAAGGTGGTTGAACTTGTTACCCTCAATTCAACGTTTAATTGAAAATTATGAACCTTTAAGAAATGACTTTTTAAATCAACAAACACCAAAAACAACAAAACCAAACAGAACAACCAAAAATCTTCAAGTTTTGAAGACGTTTTTTGAAGATGATTGTGGTTTGTGCATTTTGATTTTTTTAGAAAATGTATTAGTTGATATTCAACGAGCTGAATTGAAGCTGCAACGCGTTTATACTACAGCCGTTGATCTCTATGGTATTATCTCAAATTTAATTAAAAAATTAGAACAACGATTGAATGATAAATATTTTGGAAGTAAAACACATTCAATATTAAATCAATTAATGGTTTTCAATGAAGATAAAGCTAAACAATTGCAAGATTCATTTCAATCATTTATTGAATGTGTTATTAAATATATTGATTCTTATTTTGATCGGGCTTCGAGATTTATTTCAAAAATGATCTGCTTTTGATTATGAATCAAATGGTTTTCTTAAATGGAATTATTTATTGGATGTTATTAATATGATCAAAATAGATGGTTTAGATAGAGATGAACTCTACAATGAATATTGTGAAATTAAATTTATACATGATGAAATGAAAAATAAAAATGCCAAAATAAATGAGCAAATAAAACTATACATTTCAAGTAAAAATGGTTATAATCCAAAATCAATAATCAATAGTAATCAAATTCCATGTGATGCTAACGACGATGATAATGATGGTTTATTAAATAATGATGCAAGAACAAATGAATATATCCAATCTGATCAGCTATGGTCATATTTATTAAATATTAAACCGAAAACAACACCAAATATGGAACTAGTTATTGCCTACGTATTTTCTATTCCATGTAGCAATGCTTTTGTTGAATCAATATTCAGTCACATGAGTCACTTATGGTCTGATTATCAAAATCGAATGAATATCGAATTGGTCGAAGCTGAACTATAAATCAGAATGAATTCCAATATTCCTTGTGCACATTTTTATGACTTTCTTTTAACTCAAGAGGAACTATTGAAACACATAGCTTCAAATGAAAAATTTATTAGAAAAAAACATCTTGATAAATGAACTTTAGTTTTTTTTCAATAAGTATTTTCAATTGTATATATACACATGTATACATAGTTTATTTTGAGTTGTTTTTCTTGTATTGACTGTCTCTTCTTGAAAGTGACGTTTTCTAACAGTGCTATATTTAATGTATTTGTTTTAATATTGATGAAATATATCTACAGAGAGGATAACCAAACTCAGAAAGCTTTTTTACCAGACAAAAAATCATCTTAAGCGTTGAAAAGCTTAGAAACTACTTTCCGAATTTTTTCCGAATTGACCAGATACTTTTTCCGAAAATTTCCGAATTCAGGCAAAGAAATTCCGATTTTTAAGATTTTGATCTGGCAACCCTGTCTTCGACAAAGAAGAAACTCATATTGGAACCTGCACCAGTTATTATCGAATGCAGATATATATCTTCACTTTCATGTATTGTCTTCTTGTTCTTCGCTAATCAAAAGAAGGATGTGGGTGTGGGTGTGGATGTGGATGTGTGGCTGCGGATGTGTAGGTATGGGTGCGCGGGTGCTGGTGTGGATGTGCATCATCTCTTCACTGTCCCTGACACACACCGATACACCCACATCCTGTTTTTTTCCTATTTGTGAACAAGTAAAATTTTCTTGTTGAGGTCAATAGTGGTATTTAACAAAGATTCTCACTGACCTTGCCCATATGAATTTGGAGTGTGAACATGTCTCTATCTTTGGCAAAAATATCAGCTCGTTTGCTCGAGCCGTAATGGAGATATTCAATTTTTTGTTGTTGGGTAAAGTGACTTTTGGGCCGCCCTGTATAACTAATTATTATATTTATCCATATGTAATTCAAATGTTTTCACATCTTTATGAATAATACGTCTATGTAGATGTAATATTAAGATACTACTTGATAAAATTTCGTCAAGGCAGAGATAACTGTTGTCGTGGTACGGCGTACATTCTAATCACATACCCATACTCACATCCTCTATACTTTGTCAAAAAATTCCTTTCATACAATAGTGTAGATGATGTTTTAATTTGATTCTTAATTGTAATCGAATTAAAATGTCTTAAATCACCCGAGGCCGGTATGGCTGAATGGTTAAGTTGTTTGACATATATTCACAAGATACTATGTTCGAACCTCGGCTCCATCAGTCATAGAATGACCTTGGACAAGTTACTAACGGCTGTTTTGTCTCGGACCATCCATCCGATAACAAACTGACTACGCGTTGACATACAATAAAAAGTCCGTGTGACTAGTATGTGGTTAGTCAGTGTGTATGGGGAGCTTAAGTGATTAAGCGAGAAGAACTCTGCGTCAGGCTGGCCTTCTGTCCAGAGCTGCATCTAGCAATAGATGTAGGAAAAATATCGGGCTTATCGAAACTGTCCTCGGACAGCATCCTACACCGCAAGGTAGCCGAAAGGCGGGGTATTCTTCTTCTTCTTCTTAAATCACCTGTGAAGTTCCTTGAGCAAGGACGTAATTGGTTCTGGTATGCTTTTCTACGTAATAGTAGCTCTTTTTCATATTCATCGCTAACTTGGTTGTATTAGTTTGATGAATTTCACAGTACAGAGCTTTCTGAAACAGATGAAGAAAGTTGTTTAAAAAACCAGGAGAAATCAAGAGGAAGTTTTAAACATCAGCTCCTCGATTCACGGGAAACCTTGACTAGAAGAAAAACATAAAAACCAGAAGAGTTCTGTTCAGATCAGAATGTTTGGCAAGTCTGGTTTCAGATGATGCTGCTTCAGATGCGTATATCAAATCAAAAAAGTAAGATTTGACGAGTACTCCTTTTGGCGAAACGATTCTCGATACTCTCATGAGTGCTATCTTCGACTACTACACCGATACAAAGATAATTGCTAAGAATCAAGAGTCAGGAACAGTGGCTTGAGCTTTTTCCATTGCACATAAAAACCGCTTATTAGTACTACTTAAGCCTTTTGTTATCGGTTAGATGCGATGACTACTCAAGAACAAGATTCGATCATTTCACTTTTACACAAATACGAAAATTTATTGGATAAACTTCCTTACTGGCCGCGGTTACTTACAGTTCTCAGTGTTATAAATGGTAGGGGTTTTTCTAGACCGGTACCGATGTAAATCGGTCAGATCAGACTGGACCGGCCGGTAGATCGGCATGAATCATTGTGGGATTTTCTCCTCTTATATGAGCGATACCTATCTCTGAATCATTACATAAATCACTCAAGACTTCGGTTTCACCACTCAGAAGTCTTTCTAACACGTTATTATCAATAGATATTGAAAGATATCATGAGAAAGGTAATCCTATCTCCTTATTTGATTGCAAAAATCGTGTAAAATCTGCCTTTTGATGCTCTTTTAGTTTGCCGACAGAGATTTGGCATGACACGATACTTCGGTGCACGGCATTTCAGCGCAGCGACATTTCCGCGTACCACACCACCGCGCGCGACACTTGCGCACTAAATGAAGTTTTCTGTTTTCTCTGCGTTCGGTTAATGCATCTTCTAAAATTCCATTAATAGATCTGTGAGTCTTTGCTCCAGTGTGGAGTATATGTTGGTGCGGGGCATCCGTAGGGTCATTCGGTAAAACTTTGGAACTGATGAACTGTTTGTGAAAGTAATATGATCTCATCTGATCTTTTTCGGCAGTTTGGCTAAGACGCAATCAACTGTTCAAAGAGTTCTTCCGACCTTAGGGAAACTGCTTAAGCAGTTATGCTCAGATTGATGCCTGATTGAAGAGGTCATTTGATGGATCACACCTGTTTTGAAAGACAGATAGGTTTTTACAGAAAAATAAGATGCTGGTACTGAGACCTGGGATGCTACAGATATCACCTAAACTGCTAGAGGAATCATGCGCGTTACTAGTAGTATTACTTGGAATGCTAGAAGCATCACTAGAATACTGGAAGTTTCACCTGGGTTACTATAGGGATAATCTCGGATACCACAGGTATCACTTGGATTATTCGCAGCATCTTAAATGATGCTCCTCGCTTTCCATGTAATGGTTCTAACATCAGGTATGATATAACCAGCACTCCGGATGATGCGCTTGGCGGACTAGGTGATGCCTCTAGCATCCTAATGATCCTATTAGCATCTCACGTAATGCTACTGGCATCCTAGGTGATGCCTCTGGCATTTCAGGTATCGGAGCTGCTGTGGATGCGAACTCAGGCTGTGAAGTGCGGGTGTGTGCTCCTATGTGGATTTGGGATTCGCATGTGATTTTTGGAGCGAATTTGAGTGTAGAGATGTGGTTGTTGGTATTAGAGTTCCAGTTGCCTTCGTTCCATTCGTGCGCAGAAATGTTGCCGCGCGAAAATGTCGCAGCGCTGAAGTGTCATGCGCGGAACTGTTGTGCGAGAAAATGTCGGCGCGGAAATGTCGCGCGCGGAAATATAGGTTAATCGAGATTTGGATCTCCACAAAGGCTTGGTAGTTTTTCCGGCATGCTGGCCTTCAGTTTTGGCAGGGTCTGTGATTTGCACAATACAGTTCCTGGAACGGTCTGAAGAAATTCGTTTCTACCGACCGGTATATCGGTCGGTAAGAAATCATAGGCTGGACCGGGCCTGCTATTTCCCGTCTTCGGTTGCAACATTGACGGCCCTCAGTCACCGTGATCATCGGAAATTCGCGGTGGTATATGGGAAGTTCCCACCAGTAGATGGGAAATTTCCAGTGATAGTGGCGAATTCGCGCTTGTGAGTGGGAGATTCTCATTTTTAGATGGGGAATTCCCAAAGATAGTGGAAAATTCGTCCTAGTAAATGGGAAACTCACTCTACTAAGTGGGAAATTTACCCTACTAAATGGGAAATTTACCCCGTTGAGTGGGGAATTCCCAGCCACTGCCTGCTACATATAAAAACACGAGCGTCTCGGTGTTTAACTCATATCAATCCAATCTTCCCATTCTATAAGCGAACAACAACTGTACAACATACAACTTCCACACTTACTCATTTTCATCTATCATTCTCACTTCAAGCTCGAATAGCACCAAACGACAATGCAAAATAGCAAGCAAATGATTTGTTTATTCATTCTCTCGGCGTTGATCGCAATAATGAACATGCCACAGGCGCGCGCAGATCAACATGCGCACGGTACTTGTTACCTAAAACAAAATACATGCCTCTTATATCACACACTGCAGTATTCGAACAGAACTCTCAAGCTACAAAGTATTCATATCCCATCTCATTCCCATCTGTATCAGTACCTCTAAAAATTGCCTCGAAAGCAAGCAAACTGTTTGAATAGAATATTGGTTTGCATTATTCACTTGATGCCTGTTCGTACAACAAAACTAACTTCAAATATTTCGCTGGAACGGAATAACATATTTCAATAGAACCCTGATGATACAAAGCGTTTATATCCCATCTGATGATTCCCATCGATATCACTACCTTCAAAGGCTTTCCTTCAAAGTGAGCAAAATTGTTGACTAAAATGTTTATATAACCTATTTATTTGCTGTCTGCTTCTAGAGAACAAAATCAATTCCAAATCTTTGGTTCCAATGCAACAAAATATATCAATATAACCCTAACGATACAAAGCGTTTATTTCCCATCAGATACCCATCAATATTACTACCTCTAGTATTGACTTCAAAGTGAGCAAAATCTTTGAATACAATCTTCATATGACTTGTTCATTTGTTGTCTGTTCGTAGAGAACAAAATTAACTGCAAATTTTCGCTCCAATGGAACAAAATATTTTAATAGAACCATAAACCTAGAAACCGTTCATTTCACATTTGATTCGCATCTATATCATCATCTCTAACAATTGGATTCAAAGAGAGCAAAATGTTTGAACACAATGTTCCTATGACCTATTCATTCATTATCTACTCGTAGAAACAAAAATTA